TTTAACTCAATCTTATCATTCTTTTCTTTTCTTTAAATCTTACTTAATCTTACTATTAATTTGAATAGTAGAGTGTCACAGTCCCCACAAAAAATTAAGCAACACAACTGTTTTCATTGATAATAATAATAATAGCCTAAATGTTTTTTGAGCATCAAATCACAATAATATGTTGAATTTCTGAAGGATTATGTGACACCGAAGACTGGAGTAATGATGCTGAAAATTCAGCTCACCATCACAAGAATAAATTACATATGAAAATATATTAAAATAAAAAACTTTATATTGGAATAATATTTTATAATATTACTGTTACTGTATTTTGGATCAAATAAATTACCATTACTAAATTAAACATTACTATAAATTACCTTATATTAAATTAAACTGTAAATAAAACATTACTATGTTTTAATTTAAAAAGGCAGTAAATAGTCTACAACAGGTTGTTTAATGCCAGGTTGTGCCCCATATAATTTGACAATATAATAAACTATTGCGGCATGTTGTCACAAAACGGTCAACTTGTGTAAAATAATGCTATTTTGTAGCCAGTATATAAAGTTATATGTCTGGCTTATAAATAACACAAACTGGCTTATAAACAAAGAAGTATTCACTGGAATAAAAGGTGTGACGACTTGCCCCGGTCTGCTTTCAAAAGACCATGGTATTATCTGATACAATAGTAGTGCTACAGTACTTTTTTATAAATCAGCTTTCTCATAGGATGTCTGAAACTTCAATTGATGTCACAATTGATTTTTTATATGTACTGAGTCATCAGTTTAAAAACAATTTCACAGCGGCATTGTTCAGATGTGTTTAGTTCAGATGTGCTCCGGGCTCATTTGCTGCGATCACTTAGGACGGTTTCTCTGATCAGTGTAGGAAATGGACTCATTACGCCCATAATTAACTGACAGTCTGCCACAGAGAACCTTTCCTGGTTTTTGTTTTTGTACTAATGCATTTTTATTTTTCAAACATCCGTCTTCTTTTTCATTTATTTCAGAGTCTAATTAATGGCCTCTGCTGAAACTTGGCACAGGCAGGTGTATGTTTCTCCCTCACTGTTGGAAGCTCTTATTCGTAATTATGCAGCTGCAATTAATCCCTGTACTTCCGAGTCAATACATGGCCTGTCATTAGCTCGCCACGGGTTAGGCTACAGCGAGACTCACAACTGGGCAGAAATGAAATGGATGGACTTGGACCACTGGCGTCAGAATAGAGATGTGACAAAAATATCTTCTCACAATACAATTTTGTCTGTTGTTTAAATAGTGGTAAATAATGATGAAATCTCCATATGGACCTAGATTAGATTGTTTAAGAATCTGTTAAATCACAAATTAGATCTTTTTAGTAGCTCAGTTGTGTCTCCTCCTAGACAGCAATAAGATAAAATGGAGATCTAATGGTGCCTTTTTCTAAAGTCTTCTGCATTTTTCTTTTGAGGAAGAAAAGTCTACAATCAAAGTCAGAGATGTCAATGATTATTTATTTATTTTACCCCACACTTTTGTATTAGTAGTTTATCATAGTTTTCCACTTCAAAAGCATTAAGCATTACAACTATTTTCAGCACTGATAATGTTTCTTGAGCACCAAATCAACATAATAGAATGATTTCTCATGTGACACTGTGAAGACTAGAGTAATGGCGGCTGAAAATTCGGCATTGCCATCACAGGAATATATTACATTTTTAAAAATATTAAAATGAAATGTATTTGAAAACTCCACTTAGTTAAACTCCACTTAAAGCAAATGAAAGCGCAGGTTCTGAGAATGAAACACATTTACATACACAGTCACGTCACTGAGATAATAATATCCACTTTTAAACAGGATTTGGTCTTTTCCCGTTCACCGAAGGCTAGCATCATACTATATTTCACCCCTATTAGTGTTTGAGATGATGTTGGATGTGGGCCACTGTGGTAAATATAGTCTAAACACAAACACCCCTGCATCCTGCTGCAACTGTCAACAGCTGCCCCATTTTCAGCTGGGGTTTAATAAGATGCCACACCGCTTCTGCGTAGATTTGCGTGATGAATCACAGAGCTCGCAGTACAGGATCAGTTTGTGTTTTTCAGTCACATTGTTTTATTTGGCCAGTCTTAGTGATGTATGCCCTGTCAGCTCTGGCTTCATGGTGTCTACATGTTAAAGGGGGCGAATAATTAGAGTTGGACCCTGCAAACAAGGTGCATTGAAAAGGAACAGATACACACTGAAAATGTCTTTTATTTTAGACTATAAATAGCCAATACTATTCCAACAGTATTTCAACTCGAAGCTGCTTGAGATCAAAGCACATATGCATCAGATCAGCGGAGTCAGAGTCACTATGGTGAGCTGACTAGTATTCTGTGATCATGTGGTTGTTTTCACATATGGTAATGACCTGGTTTTTTGAGAGCCAGCTAGTGACAAATGAGATTAGTTACCAGAGAATCCACCAGTGTGCTGTGTGAATCATGCTGAGAGCAGACTTTCTCTGGACTAGATGTGTCTGCCTAGATGATCAGGTGTATTAAAACTGGAGTCTGGGGTATGCTGAGTGGTCCATGGAAAATTGATTTGAAAAAAAAAAAAAACCCTAATTATTTTACAAATCATATTTTTTAGGACTGTCAAAGTTAAAGGAATAGTTCACCCACAAATGAAAATTTGCTTAAAATGTACTCGCCATCAGACCATCCAAGACGTATATGAGTTTGTTTCTTCATCGGAACAGATTTGGAGAAATTTAGCATTACAGCACTTCACTAATGGATTCTCTGCAGTGAATGGGTGCCGTCAGAAAGAGAGTCCAAACAGCTGATTAAAAACATCACAGTAATCCATAAATAAACCACATGACTCCAGCCCATCAATCAAAGCGAAAAGCTTTGTGTTTGTAAGATACAAATTCATCAAGGCGTTTTTAACATCAAATTGTTGCTTCCGGTGTTGAATTCATTACGCAATATTGCTTTCTCCAGGAAAAAAGTCGTTTCATCTGAATCGGGAGAGAAATATGCACAAATCAAGCACTGTTTACTTGCCAAAACAGTTCTAAATAAATATGTTGGTTGCTTTTTATGTGCGAGGACAACAAGGGATGGACTTTCTCATTTTATGAACTATTCCTTTTAGGAACTTAAGATATTTAATATATACAGTTATTTATTGAATTAGATATTGTTAATGTTTCATTCTGCTTCTAAAGACTGGGAATTATGATAATAGTTACAGTTATTTTATTCTGTTGACAACTTTTTATTATTCTTATAATTTTTTAAATAGCTTGCTTCCTATTTTTTTTAAAATAACTAGCTTCTTACTGTGGATTTTAGGCCACTGCCTTAAAGTACTGTGAAAATTATTAAAAGATGCATTTGTATAGCACATTTTCTTTTCAGGTTTCTGCATCTATTGTTACTTTAATAGTGGGCATAATGGTATAAATAAATATTTATCAAATTAAACATTTTCCAGGAAATATATAAAAGGCAGCTATTTAATCACATTGCTGTTAAATACATATTATTCTGTAATAGCATGCTTATTTCTCACACAGTAAGAATGGGTCTTTAGACATTAAATTGCTGCCTATATTGCTTGGCTTTTACTGAAGACTTCTCTGAGAATTCTGGCACTGTTGCATTGTTAAATGAAGTCAAGATATGTTTTGTCAGATTAATATGAGAAACTAATATGGAGAGGACATAGGCATTCTTGAATGAGTTGCTTAATAACAATCTTTTGCATGATTTGTGAGCTTAGCTGGGATTTTATTAGGATTTAATTTGTTTATACACAGCATAACTGATTCCCTCATTAGGTTGATGTGACTCTACTAGAACATTGTCATGATTTTTTTAAAGGCTGTCACTGTTCCAAAATTGTTTTAGAGGCAACGCATTAAACAAGCCTTGTAATGACAGCATTCTTTCTACAACAATGAGGGCTCCTCATGAATGATACTTGAGAGAATATGTCATTTAATTAGTGTCACATTTGACAGTGAATAAGCTAGGGATGCTAAAACTCTTTTCCTTGATGCTCATGGCATTATATCAGCTCTTTGTTTGGTATTAATATTACAGTCAATAGTAAATGTGTTTTTAAAATCTTTGTTTCATGTTGATTACCTCTTTTTTAATTTACAGAAAATAGAAGGGGCAATATATGAATATAATTAAATTAAATAATCATAATTACATTCTGTACATTCCACAACTTGAAATTCCAAGAACTAAATGTTCTTCAGGGTTCATATTAATGGATTTACATAATTTACATGACTCTTCCAGTCGTTCATTATTATGGGTTTAGTTAATTTTTTAAAATATTGTTTTACTCACAAGTAGCCATTTCTTCAAAATAAAATATTTTACAGCTTGGCCAAAAAAAAAAAAAAAGTTAAAATGACTGTTGTTGAAGGGACAAATTAAAATAAGAAATTTGATTATTAGCTGTTTTTATGTATTTTTTTATGTACTTATTTTAAAGCCTGCTTTGTCTTATTTAAAATTATCTTATATAAAGTCATCTAGAGGTCCTTGTGTTATTTTAATATTGTTGAGATACTGTTAGTTTTTATATATATTTTTTATTAATAATGTGTTTTACTTTTTATTTTATAAAAAAATAAGTTTTATGTTTTTCATTATTATTTTGTTACTTTGTTTTTTTTATTTGTCTATATAGTTTTTAAAATTAATTTTAATTTCAGTTTTAGTTATTTTATTACATCAAGTTAAAATAAATGAAAATGAGATATGTTGCCTTGACAACTAGTTTATTTCAGGTGATGCACATTTTTATGGTTTTTGTTTTAATAAACTATAATAGCCCTGCTTTTAGGAAGTGTGCTGAGGCCCCCTAATGCCCCCTGGTTTAGAACTTACCCACTGTTTTCACTTAAAATTGATTTCTGAAATTAATTAAATATAATTGTCTCCTCTCAAACAGAACAATGCTGAGAGTCTGGCCTCAGGATGTTGGAATTGGGCACTTGTTCGGTCAGCGCTCAGACCCTCTCTGACCGCAATGCCCTGGCAGTCCCGTCTTTCAGTCAGGGCATGTGTGGCGGGAGCCCGCCTTCGCAATGTTTCCTCCTTCAGCCTCAGGACCCAGAGAGCTGGCTCAAGCACCGGAGAACCCTGGAGGACGGATCCCGCTCCTGTTCGCTCCTGGAGCCCCAGAGCCTGGCTGACAGCTTCCTGTCCCATGCATCCAGTTTCGACACGCTCTACGTCCCCCACGTCCGTCCCATGGGTCTGGCGCCATCCTCCCTGGATCTCGGAGGGTTGTGCAAGGGGGCGGCAGCGTTGGGTCTGGACCCCGACATGCCCGTCAGCCCGAATATCATTAAACGGCGCAGGGGGGGACTCATTGAACAACGGGACATCATTAAAGCACACCAGGCACACAAGATCCAGAGCACCCCACAGGCCCGGCGCAAGGAATGGGAGTAAGTGGCACATGCACACACACAGCATGCAATTTAATAAGCGCTTCACACATTTTGTAGAATTTTTTTTTTCCCAGGCTTTTATTGGTCAGACTACTTAAAGGAATACTTCACCCAGAAATGAAAATCCCATAATTTACTCACCCTTATGTCGTTCAAACCAGTATGAATAATAAATTTATAATAATGTTCTGCTTCACTGCCATTCAGGGACTCGGGAAGTAGGGGTGCTGAGGGGGCTGCAGCACCCCCTGTTTTCACATGGTTGCAAATGCAACACCAAGTTTGTTCATTTAAATTTATTCAGTTTTAGCATTTAATAATTTATTTGTAATGATCTCATGTAAATTGCGTGGTTGCAAATGCAACGCCAAGTTTGTTCATTTAAATTTATTCAGTTTTAGCATTTAATAATTTATTTGTAATGATCTCTGAAATGTAAATTGTAAGTGGGCTATAATAAACCCATGTTTATCTTTATAAACATGATTAATTTTACTTGTGATGTTTTCTATATGGGATGATTAGCCTAATCCTCGTGAACATGTGACGCTAGCGCGTGTATCAGACATGAACTATACAGAATGCGAACAAGATGAACTTTAATACAAGGAGATAATGGCGCAAAAGCGAATTTCAGATTTTTTTAAATGCCAATCCCAGCAAAAACTTTCCAAAATCGGCATCCAAACAACACCAGCCCCAGCAC